CATTATGGTTCTTCTGGTTCTCTCGATTTCCTTGGTGTCTGTTGTTAGGTCCCCCTTTTGATTTCTGATTATATTAATTTGGATATTATCTCTCCATCTTTTAGTTTGGATAAGGATTTGTTTATCTTGTTGATTTTCTCAGAGAAGCAACTCTTTGTTTCATTAATTCTTTGTATTGTTCCCTTTGCTTCTATCTTATTATATTTAGCCTTCCACTTATTTCTTGCTGTCTACTCCTACTGGTTATGCTTACTTCATTTTATTCTAGAGCCTTTGGGTGTGCTGCTAAGTTCCTAGTGTGGTATTTTTCCAGCTTTAATCCGTGGTGATCTAATAGGATGCAGGGAGCTATTTCTTTTTTTTTTTTAATCTGTTGAGACTTACTTTGTGTATGAATATGTGGACAACTTTTGAGAAATTTCTGTGAGGTGCTGAGAAGAATACTTCTGTGTTTGGATGAAACATTCTGTAAACATGTTAGGTTCCTTTGTTTTATAAAACCAGTTATCTCTACCATTTCTCTGTTTAATTTTTGTATGAATGACCTGTCTATTGATGAGAGTGGGGTAGGTACTGAAGTCTCCTGCTATCAGTGTATGAGTGTCGATACGGGAATGAAGCTGTAAAAGTGTTTGTTTTACAAAAGTGGGTGCCCCTGTGTTTGAAGCATAGATGTTAAGAGTTGGAATGTCATCTTGGTGGATTTTTACTTTGATGAGTATGTAGTGTTTCCTTACCTCTTTTGATTTATTTTGGTTTGAGATCTATTTTTTTCAGATATTAAAATGGTTATATCAGCTTGCTTCTTAGGTCCATTTGCTTTTTACACCATTTACCTTGGAGCAACATCTATCGTTGATGTTGAGGTGTATTTACTAGATGCAGCAGAAAGATGGAAAGAATGGATCCTGTTTTCATATCCATTCTGTTAATCTATGTCTTTTTATTGAGGAATTGATGCTATTGATATTTATTGATATCAATTGCCAATGACTCATTAATTCCTGTTATTTTGTTGTTGTTGTTGTTAGTAGTGGTGGGGTCTGTGTGTGAGTTTCTTTTGGTTTTGCTGATGTGAGATTATTTATTTCCTGTGTTTCTGTAGATGTAGTTAATCTACTTGGTTTGGATTTTTCCTTCTAGCACTTTCTGTAGGGCTGGATTTGTAGATAGGTGTTTGTCTAAGTTAGGGTTTTATTGCTGTGAACAGACACCATGACCAAGGCAACTCTTATAAGGACAGCATTTAATTTGAACTGGCTTACAGGTTCAGAGGTTCAGTCCATTATCATCAAGGCGGGAACATGGCAGCGCCCAAACAGATATGGTGCAGGCAGAGCAGAAGAGTTCTTCATCTTCATCTGAAGGCTGCTAGCAGAATACTGACTTCCAGTCAGCTAGGGTGAGGCCCACATCCACAGTGACACGCCTACTCCAACAGGGTCATATCTCCTAATAGTGGCTGGGCTGAGCATATACAAACCATCACAGTATTGTTTAAATTTGACTTTATCATGGAATATCTTATTTTCTCCATCTATGGCAATTTAAAGTCTTGTTGGAACTGACTGAAACAGAATACCAACAGAGTCAACTAATCTGGACCCTTGGGAGCTCTCAGAGACTGAACCACCAACAAAAGAATATACATGGGCTGGACTGAGGCCCCCAGCACTTATGCAGCAGATGTACACCTTAGTTTCCATGTGGTTCCCCCAACAACTGGAACCACAGCTCTCCCTAAAGCTGTTGCCTGTCTGTAGAATCCATTCCCCAACCGGGTTGCATTGTCTGGTCTCAGTGCAAGAGGATGCACTTAACCCTGAGAGACTTGATGCACAGGGGTGGAAGGATACCCAGGAGGTTCCCACCCTTTCAGAGAAGGGAAAGGGGGTGGGAGAAAGGACTCTGTGAGAGGAGGTGCCAGAAGGGGGCAGCAATTGGGATAAGAAGGAAATAAAGAAAGGGGGGAGGGAGAGAGGGAGTGAGGGAAGAAGGAAGGAAGAAGGGAGGAAGAAGGAAAGTGAAAGTTTTGTTGGGTATAGTAGTCTGGGCTGGTATCTATAGTCTCTTAGAGTCTGAAACACATCTGTCTAGGTTCTTCTAGCTTTTAGAGTCTCCACTGAGAAGTCAGATGTAATTCTCATAGTTCTGCCTTTATATGTTATTTGGTCTTTTAGCCTTTGCATCTTTAAATGTTCTTTCTTTCCTCTGTATGTTTGGTGTTTTGATTATTATATGGCAAAGGGATGTTATTTTCTGGTCCAACCTAGTTCGTGTTCTGTATGTTTCTTGTATCTCCTTCTTTAGGTTAGGAAATTTTTCTTCTATGATTTTGTTGAAAATAATTTTGGGGCCTTTGAGCCTGGAACTCTTCTCTTTCCTCCATTTTTATTATTCTTAGGATTGTTTGGTCTTTTCATAGTGTCCCAGATTTTCTGGATGCTTTGTATCAGGAATTTTTTAGATTTAACATTTTCTTTGACTGATGTATCCATTTCTTCTATTGTATCTTCAGTGCCTGAGATTCTCTCTTGCACTCTGCTAGTGTAGCTTGCCTCTGTAGTTTCCATTCTCATTTCTATAGTTTTCATTTCCAGAATTTCCTCAGCTTGTTTTCTTTGTTGCTTCTATTTCCATTTTAAGGTCTTGAACAGTTTTATTTATTTCCTTTTACTGTTGTTTGGTTTTTTCTTGGCTTTCTTTAAGGAATTTATTCATTTCCTCCTGTTGTTTATGTTTTCCTGAATTTCTTTAAAGGATTTATTAGTTTCCTCATAAAGGACCTCTATCATCTTCATATAGTTTGTTTTAAGGTCTTTTTCTTGTGCTTCAACTGTGTTGGAATATTCAGGGCCTGTTGTGGTTGAGGACTGGGTTTTGGTGATGTCATATTGCCCTAGCTATTATTGATTGTGTTCTTAGGCTGGCATCTGGGCATCTGGGTTGGAGATGATTGAATATAGGTCTAAGTGCTAATTTCTGAGTTTGTCTTTGTTGGATGGATGTCTTGTTCCTTGGTTCCTTTTCTCCTCTGGATTTTTAAAGAGTATGTTGGTTGTGTGTTGCCTGTTTTATTAGCCTGCTCAGTTGGTGTGTTCATTGGGAATGCTTGCTGGTGTTGGAGGTTAGAGGAAGGGGAGGCTGGGGGAGATGGGAGATGGTCTATTGCAGTGTTAAGGGTGACCCCGAGAATTGGGTCTAGGGATACAAAGAGAGTGAGAAGGTCCATGGGCAAATACCTGGTCTTCTGGCAGGTGTGGCCTGTTGTTGAGCAAGAGGTACCTGCTCCAGTTGGAAGCTGGGACACAGCAATGAGCTGGGAAGGGCAAGTGGGGTCAGGGGAGGGAGGGGCCAGGCTACTGTCTGTGAGATCCACAAGGAGCATGGACTGGGAGGGGAGAAGCTGCAGCTGGTATTCTGTCACAGGGCGAGGGACAGCCTTGAGAATTGGGTTGGGGGAACAAAGACTGGGGGAAGGTCTGTAGGCAGCCTCTCTTTTTCATTTATTTAGTATGGGGAGGTGCATATGTATCATGGTGATATGTGGAGGTCAGAGAAGTTGGTTCTCTCCTTCAACTGAGTGTGGCCCTGGCTTGGCAGCAAGTGCTTCTACTTGCTGAGCCATGTCACCAACCCTAGAAATCCAATTTTTAAAATAATTACAGGACTATCAAGGTTTTGTGGTTCTCTTTGAGTGAAGTTTGGGAGTGGAGTCTTTCAAGTTGTAAATCTGCTTTTTCTAAGACACTAAGTGCATGAGCCAGCAGTATACACTCCTTTCTTCCCACACTTATGACTATTCTCCTTTCTTCTTGGTCATTCTGATTAGGACTTGCCAGTTTTACTGATAAGTTCGATGAACTGCCTTTATTTCTTTGGCATTATTTATTATTATTGTTATTGTTATTATTATTGATGTGTTTGATTTCAGTTTCATTAGCTGTGCCTCAGTTGAGGAAATGCTTCCATGAGATCCAGCTGTAGGGCATTTTCTTAATTAGTGATCACTGGTAGAGTGCCCAACCCACTGTGAGTGGTGCCATCCCTGGGCTGGGTTTTATAAGAAAGCAGACTGAGCAAGCCATGGGAAGCAGGCCAGTAAGTAGCACTCCTCCAATGGCCTCTGCATCAGCTCCTGCCTCTAAGTTCCAGTCCTGCTTGAATTCCTGCCCTGAATTCCTCCAATGATGGACTATAATCTGAAAGTATAAACCAAATTAACTCTGTCCTCCTCAACTTGCTTTTTGGTGATGGTGTTTTGTGGCAGCAATAGAAACCCTAACTAAGACACGCTGTGACCCAGTACCTATTGTTTTCTGTGTACTTTTGGTTTGCTTTCTTTTTCTTTAGTCTTTGAAGGGGGAAACTTGGGCTACTTTATTTTTTCAATGCACACATTTTGACACTATGGTCTTTCTTTCAAACATGGCTCTAGCTGCCCTTCCCTGGGTTGGTTTATTTGCATGCTCATGTCTTCTTGCCTTTTCCCACAACCCCACCAGCCTCTCCAAGGCTTACCCACATCTGCCCTGTAGTGATCAACCAACATGTCTGCTGTTAACACTGGGTGTCCCCATCTCTACCCAGAGCTGTGCAATGGACAGGCTCTTTAGACACCTTTTTGAATTCAAATCTATTAAAAAAACAAATGGGGGACCTTTTGTGATAAATGGATAAGGGAAAGAACACAAAGAGAGAAGAGAGCTGGAGTTTAGGGACATGAATATTTTCCAATAGAAAAAAAACACAAAAGAGCAAGATTTACCAGTGAGGGAATATTTATTTATTGATGCAGAGTTGACAGAGTCTTTAATCCTATGTTTTAAGCAGTTTCTCTTTCAGAAGCTTGTGCTCATACCTTAGGGTGTGCATGTGTGCGTGTGTGTGTGTGTGTGTGTGTGCACGCGCGCGCGCGCGCGTGTGTGAGACTGATCTATGGCCATAGTCATCTCAGATAAAGGTGGGTGCTGGAGGCTTATTTGTCTATGTGTGGAGCCTCATATCTTGCACTGGCAGCACACGGGGGCACAGCAGCAGGGCTTGCAGCAGCTGGACTGACAGCAGCAGGGCTTGCAACAGCTGGACTGACAGCAGCAGGGCTTGCAACAGCTGGACTGACAGCAAGATGATCCACAACCTGAAGAGCAACAGGGTTTACAGCAGCTGGACTGACAGCAGCAGGGTTTACAACAGCTGGATTGACAGCAGCAGGGCTTGCAGCAGCTGGATTGACAACAGCTTCCTTTGCAGCCTCCACAAGACCCACAACCACCCTTGCAGCCCCCACAGGAGCCACAGCCTCCCTTGCAGCCCCCACAGGAACCACAGCCCCCACAGGAGCCACAGCCTCCCTTGCAGCCCCCACAGGAGCCACAGCCTCCCTTGCAGCCTCCACAGGAGCCACAGCCTCCCTTGCAGCCCCCACAGGAACCACAGCCCCCACAGCTGGAGCCACAGCCCCCACAGCTGGAGCAGGAACAGACAGGCACACAGCAGCACACAGGCTTGCAGCAGCACACAGGCTTGCAGCAGCTGGAGCCACAGCCCCCACAGCTGGAGCCACAGCCCCCACAGCCGGAGCCACAGCCTCCTGAACAGCCACAGCAGGTCATGGTTCTGGTGTTTGGTTGAGGATGGAGTAGGTCAGAGGAGAAGGTGGAGAGAGAGAAGGTGTGCAGATGTGCAGCCTCCTGAGCCTGGGCCTTTATATCCCTGCCCAGGTCAGGTGTGAGGCTACACATGATCACTTCCTGATTGCTCTTTGTTTTCCCCTAGTGCAGCTGCATGGCAACATAATAAACATTGCTGTTTCCTGTCACTTCCTTCATATCAGTGGTTCTCTACAGATCTTCAGGCTTCCCAGGGTCTTGTGTTCCTGGGCACAGAAGAGCTTCACCCATCCCTGCCCAAGGCCCTACTGCCTGGTGTCTCACAGCATGAGGAGTTTTCTGTGTGTTATTCATTTCTACTCTGTTGTCTTGTGGAAATACTGAGCTCTGCTGGCTCTCCATTTAAATTGGACAAGGTGGTGGTCTTGTTCTAACCGTGTGTCAGAGCAGAAAGTTCAGGACAAGTTACCTGGTTCTTTCAGACTCCTTGCTTGGCAGGCCTCTTGGAGTCTGTTTCCTCCTTGGCTGGCCCTGTTTCAGGCCTGGGGGCCATTGTTCTCAGCTGCTGCCCTCACCCAAGCTTCCTTCCTTCCTTCCTTCCTTCCTTCCTTCCTTCCTTCCTTCCTT